TGTCTGAAATTATTTCCTTTGGCATTCCACGTCTATGTGCCATTCTAAATAAGGCGTTCAAGAAGGAGTCTGTGTCAAGTCCATAAGCTACCTCTAAGTGTACAGCTAGTGTAGAGAGACACGTAAAGAGACAATGGTATCGCTTTTGGCGACGTTTTCCTCTACCTTGCTCTATGATAAATGGGCCAGCATAGTCAACACCAACTTGAGTAAATGCATGTAACAAACATTTCACTCTAATTGCCAGATCTGCCATGATTTGATGTGTGGGTTTTGTCTTCACCACCAAGAACACTCTCTCTCCCACTCACGAATCTCTTCCCTGGATGAAATAATCCAGAATCTTGACGATAGTGCTGCCAAAACACTGTGAGTACCCATGTGTTTACCTTCTTCATTGTATTTTTTTACTCTCTTTCTGTGAATTGGTCAACAGTTTCATTTCAGATATCTTCAATTTCTTCAAGATCTAGATCACCTTTTTTATGGATACAGGTTGGTATTCGAAAGTTGTTGAAAAGATCTAGATTACCTTTTTTATGGATACAGGTTGGTATACCAGAGTTGTTGAAGAATCTGAAAATCCATGCAAGAACTCTGCAAAGTCGTTTCCAGTTTGAAAACCTAGAAGGTTGTAAACGCTATGGTGGTTCTTCATCTGTTTCACAGAACATTGCCATCTGAGGAATTCGTCGTTCAAGTTTACCACAGTTACTGAAGTCAACAACTTGTTTTGGCCAATCATTTTCTGTTGAAGTCAGGAATTCAGGACCGTTTAACCATTTCCCGTTCTCCAATGTTTGAACTTGAGCACCTCTGCTGACAATATCTGCAGTGTTAAGTTGTGAGGGGACATAACTCCACTGACTAGGATTTGTATTCTCATGGATGTATCCAACACAATTTGCCACAAATGACTTGAAACTTCTTCTCGGACTTTTCACCCACCACAACACATTTAAGCTATCAGACCATAGTGTTGCAGACTGACATGTTATTGCCAAGGCCTTTACAACAGCATTGAGAAGTTTAACTCCAATGACAGCTGCAAGCAATTCCATTTTTGGAATACTGACTGCTTTAAGAGCTGCCACATGACTCTTTGCAGCTACGAGATTACTTGAGACCACCTCACCTTTGTCCATAGTGACTGCATATACAACAGCCCCATATGCTTCTTGTGAAGCATCTGCGAAAACGTGCAGCTTTGTATTTTCTATAGCAGAAGCCACTTGAATTCATCTTGGTACCCAAATCGATCTAAGAAGTTCTATTTCATGATACCACTGCCATGCTTTCTGTTCTAATTGGGGGTTGATAACTTCATCCCACCCAGCACTTGTTGTCCATATTTCTTGGAGGATAACTTTGGCCCTTATGATGAAAGGTGCCAAAATGCCAAGGGGATCGAAGAGTTTTGCAGTTTCTCTCAAAAAGTTTCTTTTTGTCATACTAAAACTGTTGTCTTGAACATGGTAACAGAAACAAAAGTCATCACTTTCTGCATACCATGTCAGACCAAGAGCCTTAACTGAAGGCAACTCCTGCATGTGTAAATTGATCTCCTTCAATCTGTCTTCAAGAGGAATGTTGTCTAGAACCTGTGTAGAATTAGAAACCCATTTTCTGGCATTCATACCTGCTGAACTCCATAAGGCATTTAGCTGTTCATAGAGTTCTATTGCCTGACTATCACTTTCTACTGAATCCATGTTATCATCCATGTAAGTGGATTTCTGAACTTTTTCTGCAGCCAAAGGGAATTCTCTTCTGTGATTTTTGGCATGTTCCTGTGAAATATATTGTGCCAAGAAAGGAGAACAATTCATTCCAGACACAAATCTGTTAAATTTGTAAACATCAGGTGTTAAGTTCTAGTCCATACTTCTCCAAAGGAATCTGAAATGAGAACGATCTCCTTCACTGATTACAATCTGGAGATACATCTGAGCAATATTACAAATAATCACGACTGGGTGCTTTCTGAAGCGAAGCAAAATCTCAAACAAATATTGTAACTTAGGACCATGATGAATTGTATCCTTCAAGGACAAACTGTTACATTTTGCCGATGTGTAAAAGACTATTCTGACTTTTGTTGTTGTTCTATCTGGTTTCACGACAGGAAAATGAGGTAAGAACCATTTTGTTTCTTTAATTTCTTTTTCAGGCACTTTCCTGATGTTACCTTTGTTGATATATTGTGCAATGACATCATCATATACCTCTAAAATGGCTTTGTCTTTGGACAACTTCTTTTCAATGTTCAACAACCGACTGAAAGCCATATCATAGTTACTAGTAAGTTCATCAGCTGTCTTTTTCCAAGGAACCCCAACCTTGTACCTACCATTGCAGTACTGAAGAGAAGATTGTACAGAATCAGCAGCCATTTGATCATTCACACTCATGATTGGAATTGAACTGGAAACATTTTCTATTTCCCAAAATCGTTGGACCAAAAGATCTACCTTTACCCCACTGTTTTCAGTATCAATGTTATTAACGAAGAATGTACCTATTCCTTGTTTCTGTTTAACATGGAGCCCTGTTACATTCCCTACACACGTCCACCCCAAAGGTGTGAGTCTAGCCACTGGTTCCCCAGGCCTACTACAAACATCACTACGGGAGGAATGCAGTCCCAGGTAATCCTTACCTATCAGTATGTCAACGATTGGCCGTGAACCTAAATTGAGAAACCGTATGTCCCTCAAGAGACCATTTCTGTGCATATTTTTGCCAGACAAACACTTTCATGCTGCCAGTGACTTTAGGAGTTGATAAAGTTACTATCTGCATGTCAACTGAGCCATCAATACTTTCCAATCCAAATTCAACGGACACTGTCAAAGGTTTCTGTTTTACTGTTAAGGACGTTAACAGATTTAGTTTGACCCTGCAGACCAAGTTCTGATGCAGCATCTTCATTGATGTATGTTTGAGTGCTTGCATTGTCTAACAAGGCATTGACCACTAATCTCTTGTTACCACTCTTCAGTACAACTGGAATGGTTCTAAGTGCAGAGAAATGAGATTGCATCTTCGTAATAGACATTGTAGTTGTCTGTGTTCGGTTCTCTGTGCCACTCCCAGGGATAATACCTTTTTTATCAGTTACTCCAGTACCACTACACTGTCCATAGTGATTACTTCCTTTATAATTGTCATGTAGCAGGCGATTATGAGTAGCTTGACAACTGTCTATACCACATTTATCTGATATAGTACATAAATGTCCAAGATGTTTTGTTCCAAGACATCGGAAGCAAAGATTCAGTTCCTTTGCTTTATCCCATCGTTTTGGAACATCAAGATTTCTAAATATTCTGCATTGCCAAATCTTGTAATGGGGATTTTTACAGACATGACAATGTCATGCCTTGCTTACACCTTTTGCACCAAAGTATGTACCTGATCTTTGATGTTGTCTAATTTTTGATGTCTTTGACCTCTCTGATAAGCCATGTTTAACTTGGCTACATTATTGAATTCTGCTTCTTGAATAATCCATTCACGAAGAGTCTCAACAGATTCCTGTCTACTATACTGAACTATCATGCTTTCAGTTAACGTTTTCAGCAGCAACAAATACAAACAACCATCACCTAGCTCCTCTATCTTGTCAGCCTCTCTGAAACTAACAACTGCCACTTCTAGCATGTCAGCAAACTTATCTAGATCTCTGGCATGTCCTGGGCATAATGGCTCAACGTTAGAAATTTCCTCTAACTTTAATGCCTTTTGCCTCCATATTTCCTCTCCAAACGCTCAAGAGCAATATCATATGCCACCGCACTATGACCTAATTTGGCAATAAGCTGTGCACCTGATAGGTACTGCTTGAGCTGCAACAATTTATATTCATTTGTTGCAGGAGCACTGTCAACATAAGCCATTAATGCGGCTTAACTCGTTTCAATTGCTTCCATAGATCCTGGCCAATACTGTTTTCATTAGAATTACCTCTTCTATGATATTTGCAACATGGAAGTCTCGAATCAAGAGTTCCGTCACATTCTGGTTTGGGATGTGGAACCTGTTCATCATTCTTGTATTTTTGCTGTGTGTACTTACCATCAGAACTGCAGCTCTGAGCACCATCAACACTAGCTCCCTTATCAGACGCCTGTTTACTACCTTTTGCTCCATGAGAAGTTTGACTTTTTTCTGAATGAAATATATCAAGTATTCCTGATAGCATAGACATAGACGAACTAGAATCCAACGTGTTGCTTAGATACACTTGTGCTTTGTCAATAGCTGAATCTTTGACTTCCTCAATTTCACGAATAATGGTCCAAAAACAACTAGTTTCTATAAAGACCACGAATATTTGTCAACGACCATAAAGTGTGTTTTGCTCCAACAAACGAAAAGCCTGCACTGGAGATTTGCAATGCATTCATTTTCTGCACGTGAAACGAATGCCACGATCTGATTTCCGCGAAGCGTTTATGCTAAATGTTCGTGTTACATGAACCAAAACAATGTTTGTTTTGTATTTATTATTTTCTCTCCTCAACACCCAAAAATATAATTTTAAAGAATTTTGATGCAATCATTGACATAATTGTATCTTTAACTATGTTTTTAACAGGAGTAAAATATTCTAATATCGTGTTATTTTAGTTGCATATTTACTACATGTTAATTTATATTTTTGTTTGTGCAGCAGCTACATTCTAATCAGCACTCACATTCCAGTCAGTCTCAATATATCTGAGATCTGTATTACATCAGCACTACAGCTATTCTATTCACTTGTCAATACTAACTGCCATTTATTCAATTTCGCAGGTTCCCGACATTTTTGTGCTATTTATACCTTTCAAGTATTCATCTCTGGAGCATGCTATAGGTTCACCAATGCTATTTTTAATCTGTCGAAAGTATGCATGTTTGCTGTAGATGGTGCTGATATGATTAGTGCAACAACTGGATCTTCAGTGCTTCCCTTTACCTTATTAATAAATTGTTTGACCCTGTTAATTTCTCACCTTTCTTATAGGATGTGTCATGTATATATTTCAGCAACAGTTCCATGAGAACATCAAGCTTTTGGGCTCCCACATGCTCAGCAGTATCAGGCATGTTATCATCTTGATGTTTACTGGGCACCTCCTGAAAGAATATGATTTTTATGCCGAATAATTGCAATCTCAGTTTGTGTATTAGGTGATCACTTCTAAAAATTGACTGTTATCTCAATTTTATCTTGTACAGATCTCAATACATCAAAATCGTAACATGCATAAACTTGCACTATATGACAATATTAACTCAGTCTCATTAAAATCAGATCCTAGTTCTCGCTACCGCTAAACAAAGATCTGAGGACATCCCATTAGGGGTCACGTCAGAACGACCTTTCATCCGACCGATCAGTGCATCGCTTTCCATATTATGAAAGTGACTGTCGGAATGTGATTTCTAATCATGCAATCTCAAAAACTTTAACATGGGGTATTCCGAACGATGGTTACGGGTTTAACAACTGAATCTTAACATTCTAGACCATCTATTAGTCATTCCAGAATGTTTTTTTGTTCAGGTTTCAAATATGTAATCAAGAATTTGTCAAAATATGTTTCGAAGGATAGTCGCCAATTTGAAATTTGTGCCGTAAAGCACGAGAAAACTGGTTTCTGATTTTTCATTCCATTGGTCGGTCAAAGTTCGCGCAAGGTCGGTCTGACGTGACCCGTAATGGGATGTCCTCAGATCTTTGTTAAGTGGTAGCGAGAACTAAGGTCTGATTTTAATGAGATTGATATTAACTGACAGGCAGATCCGAAGGCTCTGAAGCTTTTTATGAATCTTAGCTGCAGCATGCTGTCTTTTTTTGGGTGAAATTGTAGATGCTCTTGAGAAATATAGGGACTGCCCTTTGTTGCCACAAGGTACTTGCCGGCCTAAACTGAGCTTAAATGTGTAAAGTATTCCACCGCTTTCATGATCAAACATCAAACACCAAACCGTTAAATGGCCCCACTGCAACTCAAAAGAAACTCCTGAACACGTAATACTATATTGCACACATTACCAGCAACAAAGAACAACACTCCAATCCACACTAAACTGCAGCAATCAAATGACACTAGCAACGCTACTAAAACCCCTAAATGACTTACAAACTTTTTAAGCATTATGCATCTATCTAATCAAAGCAGTCCTACTCGGTCCCCTCTAAAAAAGTACAACAAACAAGCTGTCCATAAACCCTAAAATTCTAAACCTATAAAAACACACAAAACTCCATTTAGTCCCCACACCACACCTTTTGCATGGCATATTTTAATATTCAAATTAACTAAGCAACCCTAAAAACATCCCCCTAGGTTGCCTCACATTTTCGGACAGTGTCTAAATTCCACAAAACCGGCAAAACTCTGGTACCTTGGTTGAACTGGGAAATAGCAAAAGCTAGGTGAGTAAGAAAGAAAGCCCTCAATAGGAAAGAAAGGGAGATACTTCATAGACAATTGAATTCATGGTGGACCTTCTGCAAATCTCTAAATGTAAAAACAAATGCTTAAACAGTCTGGCAAAAAATACAGGCAATCAGGGGTAAGCGTAAACCTACAAAAGTTCCCAAGTTAGACAACAAACATACGGTCAAAGAATAGGCCAACATTCTAGTTGAGGACCTCTCATCTGTCAGAAGCAACAAAACTTGCAGCAAAGAATTCCAACAGGAAAATATGCTTATGCGTAAGATATCAAACCAGCCACAAAGCAACATCTGGTGTACAATATACCATTTACTCTGACAGAGTTTGATGATGTGATACAACATAGAACAGGTACAGCACCTGGTCTTGACACAATCAGTTACAAGATATTGGAAAACCTACCTGATCAAACAAAGAGCTTACTTACTGAGTTGTATAACACAATATGGTCCGTCCAAAGGAGAAGTCCCAAAAGCATGGAAACATGCCGCTTCTAAAGCAGGAAAGAAGGAGCCCTACCAAACTCTGATTGACCTATCTTACTCACTTCAGACATGTGCCAAGCTATGGAAGCCATGGTTACAAAAAGGCTCATGCATCACCTTGAAACTGGCAACCACATCAAACCTGACCAAAGCAGCTTCAGGAAGGGACACTCATGTCTAGATCATATACTAAGAGTAGAAAATGAAATACAGAAAGCTCAATTATACCGACAATACCTAACCGCAGTATTTCTGGACTTCAGCAAAGCCTTGGACATAGTATGGCATGACGGACTCCTCACAAAACTAGCACAAAATGGAGTAGTTAAAGTAGGGAACAATCAATCTGATCCTATGTCACTGGACAATGGCACACCACAAGGCAGCATTATAAGCCCAACCCTGTTTAACATCATCATCAATGATCTTTTTGATCATATCAACTCTCCTACCCAAACTTCTAAATCCACTGATGATGGAGCAATATGGGTAAAACACAGATATATATTTCACAAATTTGAAAAAAACTGCAGTCAGCCCTGGACGGAGTAGACCAATGGTGCAATAAATGGGGGAGTTCTATTCAGACGCAGGTTAAAAAAAACCTGAACATATTACGGGCAATCTCAGGCACATCTTGGGCCACATTGAGGGACACTCAGCTTGGCCTCTACAAATCACTTATCAGATCAAAAATTGACTATGACTGTGAGGCCTTTCACTCAGCATCAAATACTGTCTTGAGATGCCTGCATGGACAGAATACAATACAAAGCCCTAATGCTAGCCACAGGTGCAGCAACAGGCACTTCACTAGAACCAATGTAAGGAGATATAGGAAAACTCACATTGAAACTAAGAAGAGTGCAGGCAATTGCCCTCTCTCAAAACGTCCTTGTCCTATAAAAAACATGATGCACATGTGCTGGTCAATGGGTATCTACTTCTGAGACGTGTCGCGCCATTGAGAACGTTAAACGTCAAGAAGCCGTCAAAACAGCGATGCTGTTGTATTAGTAGCAATCACTGTAAGAAATTTGTGAATGGCCGGAAGATCGTGATGCACATATCATGGAACTGTTCTGGGTGAACAATACCTTCGAAATGACGTGCTGGTTTTCTTGGGGAATTAGTCAGCAAAGAGCCGGAGTCACAGGAGACTAATCACAATCACTAATCGCGAGTCAAACCCCTTCTCTGCTTAAAACCTGCCTACAGTATGTATTTAACAAAAATTTGAACAATAAAAAGGAATGTGATTGGTTGATACATGATTGGTTGTGTCCTAAGCTAAATGGATGGCTAGACAGAGGGGAATACTAAATCCTGTTTATCCTGTTGGACTGGCACTAATCTTGTTGACATATTTACTGGATGCTTTGAAAGAGATTAGGGTGTCACTATAGATGAGCTTGTGTGGGGGCTAATCCTTAATGCCCTATAGACGAGCTTGTATGGGGGCTAATCCTTAATGCACTGTAGACGAGCTTGTATGGGGGCTAATCCTTAATGAGTCTTAATTGAAGTAATGTTATTCTAATATACCCCGGTAGGTGATGACAGATATACTTAAATAAATATCCTTTGTCTGGGAGATGGGATCTTGATACCTTAGGCTAGCATTTATCTAAAAGCTTCAAATCAATTAAACTATGTAGACGTAACTCTTGTCTTATTGAATAGTATGTCTAGAAGACGCGCTCCCATTACCTTAGGCTAGCAACCATCTAAAAAAGCTTTAACTGAAACTACTGATAATGGTACTCCACAGGGCAGTATCCTCAGCCCCACCCTCTTCAATATAATGATAAACGATCTATTCGAGGGCCTATCCCCTAAAGTAAACACATCAAAATTCGCGGATGATGGAGCCATCTGGATCCGCACTAAAAGCATGAACATGGTCCAAAATCTACTCCAAAAATCTCTTAATAAAATACAACAATGGGCTGACAAATGGGGCTTCTCCCTTAACTCAGAAAAAACAACAGGAATAGTATTCAAACATAAAAACATGAAACCCGCCTCCCCAATCCTCCAGCTAAACAATCAACAATCAAATTTCAAAAACAAACCAAATTCTTAGGACTTATTTTCGATGAACATCTCACCTGGGATGCTCACATCCAAAACCTAACAACTAAATGCAGTAAAGACCTAAACACCCTAAGATGCCTAACTGGCTCTAACTGGGGAGCATCCAAAGATACCCTCCTCTCTCTCTACATATCACTAATTAGATCAAAACTAGACTACGGCTGCGCCATATACAACACCCTAAACAACTCTCTATCTAAAAAACTTGACTCAATACAATATCAGGCTCTCAATATCATGCTAATTACACGCACCCAACATGGCACCTCCTACACCTCACTTCAGGCCTTAACAGGAGAAATGCCAATAAGTCTACGCAGGGAACAGCTAAGCTTAAATTTCTGGGCCGCGTCCCAATCAAACCCTCTCATCCAAAACTTAATAAACCAAAACATCAGCCCCAAAAACCAAGCTCTAGCTCGTAAACACCCCTTACTTACCCCAATATCCCAAAGAATAACAAACTACCTAAATGAACACCAAATTAAAAATCTTAAACAAAACTGCAAACAATCAAATATCTTCACCCCTAAACTTAAAATACCCAAAATAGACACAACACTAGCTAGCCAAATAAATAAACAAACCGACCCAAACATAGCTAAAACTACCACACTAGCATACATACACGAAAATTGGCCAAATTGGTGTCACATTTACACGGACGGATCCTCAGATCCGACCTCCAAACACACAGGTTTCGGAGTCCATACCACACAACCAACTAAAACCACACAATCCTTCCGACTCCCTAACAACCAATCAATATTCACGGCAGAACTAATGGGCATGGCCTCAGCCCTCCATAATCAAGAATCCAAAAACCACAAAAAAATCCTAATACTTACCGGCTCCCTAAGTGGACTGCAAGCCCTCCAAAACAAAAATACCAAAAACCGACCTAAATTAATAAATCGAATACTTAAAAGCTCCAACGACCTAACTAAGGCAGGCAAACAAATAACCTTCTTGTGGATACCCGCCCACGTAGGAATATACGGTAATGAAAACGCCGATAAAGCAGCTAAACTATCCCTCAAAATCCCAGAAATAAGCTTAAACTTACCCATCTCAAAATCAGAAATTAAAAGTGTAAACAAGCAAAAAATCACAAAAAATGAGCTGACTTTCGCGCAGGAGTAAATGGAAAGGGAGATAACTCACGTTATGAGAGAGGGCAATATTACCATTCTGGGGACAACATCAAAATCTTTGGTGAAAAAGATAAGGCAAGACAAAAACACCCGAGATGAAGCCCTAGCGTGGAAAAATCTCTCTCTGAAGCCATCTGGGATGTTAGTACGAGAACTCATCCGAAGTCACAATTGTGATGACATTCAGCCACCAGAAAGTCACTACAAAGGGTTACACCCTCCCTGGACTTTATAAACTCCCAAAGTTGACACTGCTTTAACATCAGAAGTGACAAAAGTAGAACACCCAACCCACTACGATCAGTTGCTATCACTAAAACTCAAACTGTATACCTGGGAAAGCTGGGCCCATACATACACAGATGGATCCAAGAATCCTAACAACAATAGTGCTGGTTATGGGATCCATATCCACAGATCCACACGCCAAGCACATTCCATCTGCCTGATGGTCAGTCAGTATTCACTGCTGAACTGGAGGCAAAACTCATCATGCACTCATACTTATACCGGAACTACCAGAAGCAGAGGCAGTCATCCTATCAGACTCACTTAGTGCAGAAACAGACCAAACAGTCAATAATATTCTATACGAACATACAAAACCAAAACCATCGGACCAATGGAAACATGGGGCGGTGTTGGACCCAATCTCATTTAGATGAAATTAGAAATGAAAAAGCAGAAACACTAGCAAAGCTAGCTCTAGTCAAAGCAGAGATACAGCCTATTCCGTTAACTAGAGATAAAAAGCGAAAATCAAAGCCTCCACAGCGCAAAACAAACAAACTCAAACAAGAGTCATCAGAAAGATGACATATTCCCCCCTGCAGCATAAGTAAATGTGCAATTCTGTATGTAATGAGTCAAGAGTTGAATGTTCTTGAAGAAGCATACATTGTTTACCCACAAAAGATCCACCATGGTCACATCCATATGAAATGGAAAGTAAAACAAGTGTGTTTCTGTGGGTTTTTTTTATGCAAACAAATGACAAATTACAAGAAACAATAACAATAACGAAAACTCCGGAAACGATTCAGACAGACGGACGGATGGATGGACGGACATGCCAATAGCTATATCCCCCCGCATTATATGCTGGGGTGATAACAAAAGGACAGCTGAAAGCATTCTCCTGCCTGATTCGGTCACATAAAGCACTATGACAAGGTATGCCCATCTTGCAATAAACCTGAATCCATTACTCACTTGTTATTTGAATGTCAAGATCATGCCCTATCCTGGGCTCGGTTAAAACAAGAACTGCAGCGAGATCCACTCTCTGTCGTAGATCTCCTCAAGCCAAGAGTTGCAAAACAGGTCAGTCGAAATGCTAAGGCAGAAGGCGATCTCTTAAAGCTCTTAATGTTAATGTCGAAACCATTCAACAGATTGTGTTATTAGCCATACATCTAATGTCGAACACATTCCACAGATTGTGTTACTAGCCATACATCTACTGTTGAACTCATTGGACAGATTGTGTTACTAGCCATACATCTAATGTCGAACACATTGGACAGATTGTGTTGCTAGCCATACATCTAATGTCTAACACATTCGACAGGCAACTACCATAAGGACACCCCCAAACAAAACTTGCAATATCTATTTACCAAGAAGGCTTTGCGTAACATTTAAATTATGTATGACATGCATAAATGCTCAGCTTGCTAAATATCAAAACCTTCAGTAGTTTATTTGCCTCAAAACGAAATTATCGTGAGTTAAAAAAGTTTCGCGGCACACAACTACCAGAAACTGCCATTGCTCACTCTGGCATTTCATACTGAGTGGTATGCATTCCAATATTTAAATTGTAATGTTATCATTTTTTACATTAGATCATAATTGTTTTTTCACTGACGAAAAGAAAGGACTCAAGTTCCTAAATTTCTAAAATTAGCAACTTTCGGTGTGATTAATTGAAAACAAAAACAATTTGAATTGTAACATCATCTATTGGATGAAACTTGTACGATTATGGAAACGGCAGTAAACAAACAACTCAAAATGCATCGTGCATTTCTAGAATTATTTACACGGATGTATAAATCTTTGTAAAAACAACTATCTCATTATTATCAAGGTTGCAAATGATTTCGTTTGATAAAACACTCTGACCTTGACCAGCTTTTGACAAGCCGACAAATGTAAGAGACACATTTAGGCATGGCCTAACCTCGAGATTTGTTTAGTTGAACAAAGTCAACAAACGCTGCGAATAATTACAAATATTTGATGATATGCAAAATATGAACATACATAAATTCTAGGTAAAGCTTTCAGTACAGCCTACACTCTGAGCAGGGCATTCACCATTTCCTTCATTTTCCCGCGTTTTAATGGCCTCGCTTTGAGAATGGCAAATGTGATGTCTCAAACTGGCCCATTAGAGAGAGAGAGATAAGCTGACAGTAATGTTGTCAAATACACTGAAAATCATTTAATATATGCTGGTATGCTGGTTAGCTTTTCGTTATTCAAAAGTACTGAATAACTAAACAGCTTTTTGATGATGATGTAAGATGAACCTGTTGTCATATATAAAATGAGTTTCAGCGTATTTGACCACATTACTGTAGTTGTTTAATATACAGCCTTTGAATAACGAACCCAGTGATGGCTTGTTTTTCGTTATTCGAAAAACGAATAACGAATAACGAACCTGCTGCTAACTTCAGGCCCCTAGGCAAAACTAGATGTTACTGCCAATTGTATGTTTCACAAATTGATACACAAAAATCTTCATTCAGATGTTTTACAATAGTTTATGGACATGACAGCTGATAGACAAAGTGCAAATGTACTCAGAAAATGTGATAATTACCATCTGAAACATGACTTGATCTACCTCTTGCTTGTCTCCTTCAGTACATTCAATTTCACAGCGTGGACTTCTAACCTGAAAAAAAAGGGAAAAAGATCAAGATACTAGTCAAAACTGATAGGGAAGCGAGTTTCTGATTCAAAAACTGGATCATCATTTGTAGTAGCAATGAGGATATCATCGATCCCATCTTGTTGATGGACCACACAACTGATGTATGTCAAATTGAACCATCAGTTTGGGTGCTTGTGGGAACTCTGCCAAATTTCATAATATTCAAGATGCTCCTTGACCTGTTGACAAATGATATGATGATAGATGGAGTGAAACAAAGACTTTATTGATCTTCAATGAAAGAACACAGGGTGCCGCCATTGATACCCGCTCGCACATGATCCATCCCTAAACAAGACTTTGACCTCTGACCTTTGCACCATGCATACAATAAGAGACCTTAATTGCATGTACACTACAAATGTGTCATCACTAACACAACCACTTGAACTCAAAAGTTATTGATGCGTAAATTCTGGTCAGTATCAACCAATCATATTCCTTTTTATTGTTTTAAATTTTAGTTAAATAGATATAGAAGCAAGATCTTAAGCAGAAGGGGTTTGTCGCTCTAACCAAGCAGATCTCTCTCTCACAGCCCAGAGAGTGGTACCAGCTCTCTGTGGCACCCTCAGCTGTATTTTGAGATATTGTAAATTGTTAATTATTCTTGTAAAAATTGTTTAATTAGTCTCCTGTGACTCCGGCTCTTTGCTGACTAATTCCCCAAATAAAACCAGCAGGCTATTTGGAAAGTTTTGTACATCCGAAGAGAACCATTATAGAATACTGACTGACCATCAGGCAGGCTAACTGAATGTGCTTGGGGTTTGGAGCTGTGGATATGGATCCCATAACCTGCACTGTTGTTGATAGGATTCTTGGATCCATCAGTGTATATATTGGGCCCAGCTGTCCCAAGTAGTTTGAATTTTAGTGATAGCTAATGATCGTAGTGGGTTGGGTTAAGTGACTTCTGATCTTAAAGCAGTGTCAACTTTGGGAATTTTTCAAGTCAGGTGAAGGTGTAACCCTTTCCAGTGACTTTCTGGTGGCTGAATGTCATCACAATTGTGGCCACAGATGAGGTCTCGTACTAATATCCCTGATAGCTTTAGTGAGGGATTTTCCTTTTATGGTTTGATTGGTTTGCCTTTTATGGAGACAAATGGTATCATAGCATCTTTCTCCATGCGTTTGAATGGATCTCCCACAGTTTCTTCACTTGAAAGGGTGAACCCCCATTTATTGCACCATTGGTCTCCTCCGTCCAGGGCTGACTGGAGTTTTTTTTGTATTTGTGAAATATTTCTGTGCTTTACCCATATTGCTCCATCATAAGCGAATTTAGAAGTTTGGGTAGGAGAGTTGATATGATCAAAAAGATCATTGATCATGATGTTATACAGGGTTGGGCTTATAATGCTGCCTTGTGGTGTGCCATTGTCCAGTGACATAGGATCATGAGGAACATTGTACAGAATATATAGTAGGTCTGGGATTAACAGTAGAGGAACGTAAAATCCTCTCCAACAACCTCCAAGACTTCGCTAAAACAAAACTAACAGAAGCAGTCCACATTTGCCGCCACAAGCCATCAATCAACAGAGATCAAGGCTGTTTCATCCCATCCGCCTACTATGAACTCATTAAGCACTAATAACTTATCCTGTTTAATTGGCTTCCACCTATGTGTTTTCTGTCCATCATGTTGTGACAGTATTATTCTTCTGTTGTCATCACTTACTCATGCTATCCCACTCATCTATGCAATTGTTGTTACTGTTAATCCTCTATTGTTAATTCTCCACCTACTATATATGTTAATCATTCAGTCTTGCTTGACAACGGTATAAGGATCTGTACAAAAACGTTGCCATTTCAGTATTAAAAAGTGAGTGAGTGAGTGAGTTCAAATTTAACGTCGCATCGGCATTATCTCAGGCATATAGTGACAAAACCAAGTAAATATATTTACAATTTAATCATTTATGCAAAGTTTTGTTTAAAAACAAGTTGTAAAACATATTTGAGCATACTATATTTAGAAACAATTCATGAAACATAATTGAGCATAACAATATTATATATACAGTTTTAAAACACGGGCTATCGGCCACCAGTAACCAAAGCTAGGCCACCTTGCTGGGGATCATGGGGACTTACAGTACCTCTGCTTCCTGCATGATACCCCAGCAGGATTTACGTCATCACTTTAGCAAGTGGTGGTTGTGCACAATGCTAGCCAATATTAAAAAATACTCATCAATGAGTTGGCTTAAAAACACTGGTTGATGATAGTTACATTGATTATGATAGGATTACGTGTCACACAGGGGGACAATATTTTTACGGTACTTTAACCTCCTGGACACAGCCTTCAATAATGTCTGTTAATAGTAGCATCACACCAAAGTTAAAAACAAGCATTTAATTATTCACATACATATTTAAAATTTATTATACAGACCAATTTCTTTCAAGTAATTTATGATGAGATGCCCGCTGACACGGGAAAAGAGATCTTTTAGATTTACACTTTGATAATGTGAATCCCTTGTGATTGCAAAGTCCACATGTCTTGACTGACAACCCAAGTAGGTATGACCGATTGTTGGTTTCAATTTTGTGTAGTTTATTGCTTCCTACTTGGGTGTCCCCAGTATTAAAGAAGTGTTATCCATAATCTGTGTCTACTTTGAGCTAAAAGTGATCAGTGAGCCTCCCATTGTTCGGCTGCTCTCGCCTAGTCACCATTTACGACTATGCTTGTCCTATGAGGCAACTGACAGGATCGGGTGGTCAGGCTCGCTTACTTGGTTGATGCATGTCATCAGTTCCAATTGCGTGGATCGATGCTCATGATGTCAATCACTGGATTGTCTGGTCCAGACTTGATTATTTACATACCGCCATCATATAGCTGGAATGTTGCTGAGTGTGGCGTTAAACAATAAACAAAAACAAACAAAATATTGTCTGGAAACTGAAAATGTCACTGTTAAAGATTCACTGATCAAAACATACATCCAACTGTATGAGTTTGGACACGATTAGTTCCAGGATGGGTTGTCGGAGACTTGGCATGTAGGCTGGTATTTGCAGTAGGTTGGTGAAGAAGCACTCCAGGTGATAGAGGGGACGCAAGATGAAAGGGCAGCAATTGGACAACAATGGCATCAACACTGTCCATGTCCTACAAATAGAAAAGAGATTGAGGCATTAGATATCAAGATATCAAACCAATTCCCCACACAACCCCAAATAACAAATTTCCGAGCCATAAATAAACACCAACTCACCCAGGGTAAAATCACCAAACAAACCATTTTTCTTACGTTCAAAACTACTTCCCTACCCAACTACATCACCTTTGGAGCACTAAACTATAAAGTACACCCCATCAGGAAAAACCCCTCCCAGTGTATCTACTGTCATTCCTTTGAGCATAAGTCATCCAACTGCAAAAAACCGCCCCTATGCCCCAAATGTGGCTCAGAAAACCGTACCATCCAGGAGTGCTCCTGGGCCCCCTACTGCGTCAACTGCAAGGCCGAGGGACACACCTCAAACCAAAACTCCTGCCCAACAAAACAGAAATATATACTTAATCTAAATAAAAATCTCAAGCCAAGGGACCTTCCCAAACCAGCCAAAATCCCCCTCCTACAATATTACTCGGAGGATAACCCAGATGATCCCTACCCTGCCACCGATCACGATCTGGACTCATCCTTCAGCTCCTACACCCAACCACCACCCCCCCCTCAACCCCCCACCCAGCCAAAGTCACAAACCACCTTACCCCACCAAAGGGCCTACAATCATCAAGTAGCCCAAGGTGCTCTCCCCAATACCACCACAATCACAGCTGATGTACACCCCATCCCACCACCCAAGCCCCCCCCCCCCCCCCCCCTCAATCCATCCGCTACCCCTCCATCAATCTCCCAGACCCAAGCCCTCCCCCCTGCCTCTAACCCATCCACTCGGCCCAAACACATCCTAACCCCAAAACCCACTTCCCTCCCACCCCAAACCCCTCCTACTTCCAACCCCCCCCTCCCCCGCCCAACTACCCCCCACCAACCCCATCCCCCCTCTCATCAACCCCACCTCCCACCGACATCACATCTCCAAACATAGAAAGGAACTCCTAACCAACAAAATACATCAACTAAAGTCCACTCCGCCAGCTCACATCACCCCACAAAAACTCTACAACAACACAAACAAAATAGTGGAATTCATAATCGCAGGCATTATATTCAAACACCCCACAGTTAAAAAACTACACACACTGGCCATAAAGTCCAAAATCTACCAGAAGTCCTTCGCATCTCTCCAAACAGCTACTCTCAAACTAAAACAATAACTACAAACCCATCTATCCCATCACACCCCACACAAACACATCCCCATTTGACCCAACCCAATCATGTCTATATTACAATGGAACTGTAACGGCCTGCGGGCCAACGGCCATGAACTTAAAGCCCTAATCTCCTTAAAAAAAATACAACCCCTCATCATTGCCCTACAGGAAACCTTCCTCTCACCAAAAAAAGAATTCCAAATTCCCGGGTTCCAAATACTTCGCAAAGACCGCCCCCGCCCACAAAACACCCCCGGGCCCCCCCACGGAGGACTCGCTTTATACACAATTCACTACATTACAGCACCGTCTCAATCCCTACCCCAAACCTGGAAACACTAGCCATAGATACAACCTTCCACAAAACTAACATTAGAATAATAAACATTTATCACACTAAAACTATGCCGTTTAACTCACAGGACCTTGAAATACTATCCCAGCACCTAACACATAACACCATAATACTTGGTGATTTTAATGCCCATCACCCGCTTTGGGGAACAAAAAATTATACAGATAAATTCGGAAGACTTCTGGTAGATTGGATAGATAACACCAACCTCATATCACTTAACGACAATCAACCCACCAGATACCCAACATCCAGCCTACAAAACCCCACAGCAGTCGATTTAACATTAATAACCAACAAATTCTCACATGAAATCAGCTGGGATGCCAACACAGACACCTGGGGCAGTGACCACTGCCCCATCAAAATTGAAACAAATCTCATCCAATCACCTCCCCCCACCCCAAACAACGAACAACACCCCCCCGGCAACACCAAACAAACAAACTTTAATTTTCAGAAAGCAAACTGGCAACTTTTCACAAAACTCTGCAATCAAACTGACCCCAAAATAATACAAAACAGCAACATCGACACCTTCAACACTAACCTCACCAACACATTATTCGACATCGCCAAACAATGCATCCCCACTTCCAGGCCAACCCCAGCCCACAACCCCGTCCCCTGGTGGAATGACGAAATCAAAACAGCCAGAAATCTAAGAAAAAGAGCCCTAAATAAAAGTAAAAGAAACAAGTCAAAGATTCCAGAGTTTATTCATCTAAGAAACCACACCAAACAACTTATAAAAACAGCCCGAAAACAACACTGGCAACTTTTCTGTAACTCCCTAAAAATTGGAGATAATAACTCAGGAAAAATTTGGAAAAAGTTAAAGTCAATCAAAGGTAACTCCCGGAAATTCGCCCAACCTAATTTCAAAAACTGCCCAACCAATAAAGACAAAGCTAACCACCTAGCCAACCACTTTGCTAACACCAGTAGCACGGCCAACTACCCCCCCCCTATTTCAACAAGCAATTAAAAAACAACCCCCTTTTACCAAACGCCTCGACCTAGCCCATCTCCCCATTAACAAAGCCATCAATATACATGAACTTCTACATGCACTACACAACAAAAATACAGCCTCATCCACCGGAATCGACAACATAAGCTACATAATACTCAACAAAATACCACCACAAATACAACAACTACTACTACAGCTATACAACCAAATATGGTCCTCAGGCACCACACCCCAAACATGGAAACACGCAAAAGTCATCCCAGTCCTTAAGACGGGCAAACCCCCTAACGACCCCGACTCCTTCCGTCCCATATCCCTTACATCCCACATATGCAAAATCCTAGAATCCATTATAAATAACAGATTAAAGCATCACATCTCCTACAATAGACTTATAAGCCCAGACCAGAGCGGTTTCACAAATAACAGACAAACACTAGACCACATCCTACATCTAGAACAAGACATTAGAACAGCCCAGTCAATGAAACAATACACACTGGCCATATTTATAGATTTCAGCAAAGCTTTCGACATGGTTTGGCACACTGGCCTTCTAAACAAACTTGAAAACAACCAAATCAATGGGAGAATACTAAACTTCATACACTCGTTCCTATCAGACAGACACATCACTGTAAAATCACATCAAACTCTCTCCGACACCCACCCTATTGAAAACGGCACCCCTCAGGGAAGCATCATATCACCAACTTTATTTTATTTCATGATTAACGACATTTTCTCAGATATCAAACACTCGGAAAAAATCACAACTGCCAAATTTGCAGATGACGTTTCTTTTTGGAGCTCCTCGGCCTCCATTAATCTACTAAAAACAAGAATCCAATCTGTCCTAAATAACATTCAAAATTGGGCTTCCAAGTGGGGTTTCCAAATAAACACAAAAAAACCCATTGGCATGCTATTTAAAAAACAATATATGCAAAATTATACACCCAAACTTCACCTTAATAATCAAGATATTACCTATCAAAAAGAAGCCAAGTTCCTAGGTATTACATTTGACTAACACCTTACATGGGGCCCCCAAGTACTGAAAACGGTCAACTCTTGCGAAAAAGATCTAAATTTAATGAGAGCTATCAAAGGTAATAACTGGGGGTCTGACAAACAAACCCCTTCTCAACATATACAAAACACTCATCTAATCAAAAATTGACTATGCCGCTCCGGTCTTAAGCGGCATCACAACCACTAACTATAACAAGTATTTGTCACAGAGTGACGAAATATCCCCCGCCATATACACCATAGTACCAAATATGAAGACAATCCAGCGATTAGTTCTTGAGATATTGTGGCAACACCGTTTTCCAACTCCAAAAACAGATTTGCCTGCTGTGACCTTGAAAATGGGGTCAAGGTCACCAAATAGGACTGGTGTCTGCGGAGTCTGTATATACACCATAGTTCCAAATATGAAGACAATCCAGCGATTAGTTCTTGAGATATCGCGGCAACACCGTTTTCTAACTCCAAAAGCAGATTTGCCTGCTGTGACCTTGAAAATGGGGTCAAGGTCACCAAAACCGACTGGTGTCTGCGGTGTCTGTATATACACCATAGTTCCAAATATGAAGACAATCGAGAGGTTTAGTTCTTGAGATATCGCGGCAACACCGTTTTCCAACTCTAAAAGCAGATTTGCCTGCTGTGACCTTGAAAATGGGATCAAGGTCACCAAAACCGACTGGTGTCTGCGGAGTCTGTATATACACTATAGTTCCAAATATGAAGACAATCCAGTGTTTAGTTCTTGAGATATCGCGGCAACACCGTTTTCCAACTCCAAAAGCAGATTTGCCTGCTGTGACCTTGAAAATGGGGTCAAGGTCACCAAAACCGTCTGGTGTCTGCGGTGTCTGTATATACACCATAGTTCCAAATATGAAGACAATCCAGTGTTTAGTTCTTGAGATATCGCGGCAACACCGTTTTCCAACTCTAAAAGCAGATTTGTCTGCTGTGACCTTGAAAATGGGATCAAGGTCACCAAAACCGACTGGTGTCTGCGGAGTCTGTATATACACCATAGTTCCAAATATGAAGACAATCCAGTGTTTAGTTCTTGAGATATCGCGGTAACACCGTTTTCCAACTCTAAAAGCAGATTTGTCTGCTGTGACCTTGAAAATGGGATCAAGGTCACCAAAACCGACTGGTGTCTGCAGAGTCTGTATATACACCATAGTTCCAAATATGAAGACAATCCAGTGTTTAGTTCTTGAGATATCGCGGCAACAAACAGGTGGGACGTACGGACGGACGGACGTACGGACGTACAGACAGACGGACAGACGGACGGACGGACGGACGGACGTACGGACGGACGTACGGACGGTCGTGAATACTATATCCCCCGCTTCGCGCTTTCGCGCGGCGGGGGATAATAAACTAAAATCTATACAATACAAAGCCCTCAAACTAGCCACCGGCACAAGGACTGGGACCTCACACAACGCCCTT